TTTGACACAAAATTCAATGTGAGTGTAGGAAGTATTCTTTTTCTCCTATAAAAGGAGACAATGATTGCCCTTTCAAATTTGCAGTTACCAAGATTTACTCTCTCCATCACCATCATCATTATATTTACCACCTCCTTTTTCTTACAATCATTTTTATTATATCAAAATCAAACTAATTAAGCTGTCAAGATATAAAGCAAATTATCTATACCAGTTTAACGCTCCGAACCTATAAAAAGAAGCTAGGCTTCCTAATTAAAATAAATAAAATAAAATAAAATAAAATGCTATTTGCTAGTAAGATTGACGCCTACTTTGTTGTTAACTCTAGTATTTTGATAAAATCAATCTTTTCCAAAATAATTCATAAGCATAAATCATAATAAAAAAAACTTTGATCTATCTATTTTATTCTAATTATATCATTATGTTTTTTTTCATGTTCTTAAACTGTATACATATAAACATTTCATCATGATCTATATTATATTTATATTATCTTATTCCAAAATATATATGAATTCTCCAGGAAATAAAATCTTTCACTTACAAAGAAAATATATTTTATATTAGTCTATTTTTTATATTCTTGAAAAGAGAATTCTAATCTTAAACAAATTTAAAATAAGTTACATTATTTTTTAACTATACAGAGGATCTAGTTAGCATTATATTTTTGGGCATATACAATATTATTTCATAACTTGAGGGATAAAACTATGTTTATTTAATCTATTTTCCTAAAACTTGGTTTTAGATACTCTTTGAAACATTGATGAATTACAGAAAAACTTTGAGATAAACAAACAAATTAATAAAGAGAAGCGTTATTCTTAAAAGCTAAAAATTTTACAACATCTTACAATATATTTTTTCACCGTTGACTTCCGTCATTATAACGGTTATTATGATTTATTAGGTCATATTTATTATTAATTATTAATTTCTAATAAATTATAATAATTAGATTGACGAAAATCAATGGTAAAAAAATAGGTTAAGAATAGCGCTCCTAATTAATAAATTAGTTTATTTAAATCTCAAAAATATATCTACAGTTTAGAAGGTGTTATATGTAATTGTTTTATAATATATTTTAATGAATGATAATGAAGTTCTCTCAAAAATGCGAAATTTTATTATTAATTCATTCAATTATGCTTTGTAAAGCAAGCAATTATACATTCAATCATTGTTTGGTGCAATCTGTGGGCATAAAAGAAACAATATTGTTTTGGAGGTCATAGCCAACCAGGAAGTTTTGTTGTGCCAAGTTCCCAAAGATGGAAATACCATCATCACTAGAGGTGAATGCGAAGCATACAATCCCATCATCAACTTCAACAAAGGTGTTGAGAGCATTTAATTGGATATCTGCACCTTTAAAATGTGCTGTGATTATTGGAACCTCCAATTGTCCCGATGTAGCTCTATAGCAAAGGTTCAATTGTTGAGTAGGATCCTGAACACGCTCTAATTTAACTACATTTGCCACTGCTGATTCCAACTTAGTGTAAACATCACTAGGCAAAAGAACCAACGTTGTACCTGAGTCAATTATGATATTTGCCTCTTCACTAGATCCAGAGGAAGAACTTCCAAACTCTATTTTGTTGTCTCCAACACTAAATGCTTCCAAGGTTAGGTAGTAATAGACATCTGTTTTCTTTTGAACTAGGGGAGTTGAGACAGTCCCATCACCAGAAACCACTGCATTCTCTCCAAAATTGAGTTTGCTTGAGGAGTTGTTAGAATCTGAAAACATTGGCACTAAACAATATGAGAATTTGCCACTTATTGAAGCACCCAATTGAGATATAAGGGACACAGGTCCACCTCCAAGGCCAACTATACCCGAGGTTTTTCCCGTAAAAGTCCCGGTATTGCTATGCCCGCATCCAATCACAGTTCTAGGAAATGGGATAGGAGATCCATCGGTGGAGCTTAAAGTGAGAGTGTCCACACTTAGATCTCCTTGTGAGTGTGAACCATCTCCATAGTCAAGAGAATACTCGCAAATTTGATCATTATCAGAAGAGCAAGAGGTATCTCGTAAAGATTGACATTTAGCTGAAGAGCAAGGAATTGGTTTGTACGTTTTGGATTTTGAAGGATTGAACATTGGTGTGGTTTGGTTGTAACAAGTTTCACAAGGCTTGCATTGTAACCAAACAAAGTCACTACCAGTATCAACAATACCAAGGAGTTGGAATGGTGGTGTGCCAACTGAATAGCTCATGAGGTAGTCACCATCATCCGTTGTTATAGGGGAATCAGCTGTGTTTGTAGGGACAAAAGCTTGTTTGAAATGATTGGCACGATTAATGGAACGAGTCACAGCATTGGCAACTCGCGGGAATTGAGATTCTGTGGGACTGTAGAATGGTGATCTTGAAGAGTCACGATGAATGAGTTCAACACTAAAGCCACTATTTAGAGACTTAGTGAGTGAGATGCCACAAAGGCAAAGCAAAAGGACAAGAGATGAATAAGTTGTCATTGTTGTGAATTGTAGAAATTTGTTGTCAATAGTGCATTCTTAGTGGCTTTTTATAACACTCAGCTAAAGGTTGAGTGAGAGTGTTAGTAAAATTGTTTGTATCAAAAGGGGCTGTACAAAGATGGGAATGAGTGAAAGTACATGCTGAAAAGTAGTGATTGTTCAATGTTATCATCTACATTAAAAACTACAGAATTACTTGAATCTACGAGCATTGATGAAGAAGGAAAGACACCCAAATCGAGATTTGAACATTTACTCATAATATTAAAATTGTAGGTTGATATTAATTGAATTGCAAACTTCGGCATCAATAGTGATTTTCTTACTTATAAAGCATTCCCCATTCGTTGAAAAGAAGTGACTTTTTAGTTCGCTAGACTTGGGAAGTGTTTCTGATGTACGAAGACAATGGATAATTTCAAATAAAATAATTTTGAAATATTTCAATTTCTGATTTAATTATTTTAGTTACATGAATCTGCACGTACACACGCATGAAGAAAAAAAGGTGGCCTAATCGAGAATTCAATATTTGTTTGCAAGTCTTTAAAATTTTGCTTAAATATTAATTGAGTGACACAAAATATCCATTACATATTATATTCCTTAATGAAATTATAAAAAAAATTCACCAATATTCATTCAAAAATACAAAAGCAAAATAAAAAAATGCGTCTGATACGATAAGATTAATGTAGACCGATTTATTATTATTATAGAATTTATTCTAACGGTTGATATCTTACCGTTATATTTTGTTATTGGAAAAAATGTTTGTCATTTTAAATGACACAAGTTATATCATTTTAAGAGAGAGATAGACACAAAATAATATTTTTATTTAAAATTTAAATTAAAAAATCACCCACTTTTTCTCCTATAATTTTTATTTCTTGTGTCTATCTCTCCCTTAAAATGACATAACTTATGTCATTTAAAATGACAAACATCAAACCCTTTTATAATATTGTACTCATTATATATAAAAGTTAAGTAATGATTTCTACCCAAAAGAAGAAGAAGTAATTAGGACTGAGTGGTGGGAGAGGACCTCGGTTCGAATCCCACCAACACCAACTGGGGAAGGGCATAAGTACCGTAATCCTTGGACTCGCACAGAACTCTGGATTAGTCCCATAGGTCGAACCTGTGAGGATACCAGGGGTTCTGATTCGCCTCAAAGAGGTAATTATGATCAGTTTCCAAAAAAAAAAAAAAAGGTAATGATTTAAACTTCAAATTAATATCTTTCCAATGTTTCCAAAGAAAAATAGTAGTGTTTCCAATATCATTTAAAAATATATTAGTTTAAAAAAGCAGCAGCTATTCAGTGTTTCCCTATTTTGTAAATTAAAATCTTTGAATAATTCTCAATAAAATAAATTAAAATCTTTCAATTTTGAAATTAAATTTTGATTTACATGAATCTACAAATGAGTGAAGAATGAAAGACACCCTAATTTGGATCTGGACATTTAGTCCCAATATTAAATTTTAAGACGATAATTAATGAGTTACAAGCTTTCCGAATCAATAGAGTGATTTTCTTACTTATAAAGCATTCACCATTCATCCAAAATACAAATAAAATGAATTAAAGCAATTAATTTTAACCCATGTTTGTGTGATTCGGTTTAGAATTCTAAACCGAATTTGTCTTATTCTCTTTCAATAATATATTTCAGTATCCTAGCTTTATAATCTTAGTAAAAATCTTGGACTCTGCTAACGGTGGTGAGTGACGGTGTTGGAAAAGTTGTGTGTACGAATAAGGGAATGGAAGAATCGATCCATGGGCGGGTGATTATTTATTGTTTCCTAAAATGCTAGTTTATATATGGTTTATAGTTTTTCCCATGCATGGAAAATTTGTACTAATATATATATCAATCTTTTTACTTTTGGAATTAGTTTTTGGGTTAGATGAATATCTAAGTAAAAAATGAGGAACGAAAGGCAGCCTATTTTTTCAATTCGAATACAGGGTGTGTAGCCGTGTTAAAGGCTTAGTAGCCATTACAAAAATTCAGGTATTTTATAAGGTCATGTTTGCATATTAGTGGTATCCACAACCATCCCTCGGTATTGTATGTGCCACAACATATTTTTTAGCGTCTTTGTGTGCAACACTACAATTTGTTAGAGTAGTTTTTGGAGGTTCCAAACCCCCCACAAATATTATATTTCTGGAGGTTTACTAACCTCCCCAATATGTTTTACTTTCTGTCACTCATAGATCCCTACAATATTTATAACTTCCCAGAGGGCATAGACCTCCATAATTTGTTTATTATTTTTGCATATTTAAACCTCCACTATTTGTCATATTTTGTAACAGCTTTAAACTATCAATATCCAGGAGTTAAAGATTTATATATTATTGATTAGACCAATTCAATATGGGATGACCAATATGTATCGGGCCTAATCACACACGGTTGAAGTGAGAAGACTTTGGGTTGGGTTATCTGTTTTCTGGGATGTTGATAGATGTTGTTGACGTGACGGGTAAGATGCTCCTTTGGCGCGATGATCAAGACTGAGGGGTACCTGCAATGACACTTTGACGCTCAAATCAGTATCACAGTCAGACTTATGTGATATTCTTACTGAATTAGATTGTCATACCTGAGTTTGTACCCTTTGTTTATATAATGAATCTGATGCCGCCTTCGATAGATGGTTTGTCTTCTGATTGACTGTAGATGGACTGCAGGTTCAGCTGGTGTCGCTCTGGCCCTTGAAAGAAAGGGCCTTGAAGGTCGTAGGCATGTGAGAGGAAAAAACAAAATTCAACATATTGATATCCGGATATGGGGTTGGAGATATCCGGATATGGATATTCGGATACGAATATGGCCCCGACATATATCCGGATATTCTGGAAATTTCGAGTTGGTCACTGTTCTGTTCATACAGAAAGGTATATTGGGTTCGTGGACCCATGATTGGTTAAGTTGAACCTCTCTAATAATATAACTAAGTCAGAATCACTTAGATTAAGGGCTTATGGCTTTGGGAGAAGCCTAATGGTATGAAACGAAAAAGGAAATGTTGTCGTAATGTCATGAACCGTTAGAGTATGAATATTGATAAGATTCCTGGTCTAAACAGATTATGATTTTGCTGTTTGTGGACCTTGAGCTGTGGTGGACTCTTGACTTGGGATTTATTGCTTAAGAGGTAAACATTCGTGTCCTCGATTTGATTTGTTGCTTGTTCCACTGACCTCCATGCGAGGGTGGTTTATATGCATGTATGCTTTTATGAAAAATGAAATATGCATTGATATATGCATGATATATGTTGACTTAACTGTTGATGTAATGTATGAATGTGGTGTTGATTACTTACACGATCAGGCTGCGACCCTAGTGTGTAAGGCATAAGGCTGCGACCCTTATATTTAGATAGGTTGAACCGCACTTGCATACATCACATGAGATATGAACTGTAGTAGTTAGCTCATTGAGCAAGAGATATGTTGCCATGATTTAAATGCTTTAACATGAACATGCATTGTAATTACTGCCTTTGAACTTATATATATACTTGTAAGTGAGCTTGGGGCGGAAGAGTCCTGGAGGACCCCTTGTCTTACTGAAATTTCTTGTTAGAAATCTCACCCCGTGTCGGGGCACATTTTCAGGTACAAGTACCTCTGAGGTTGAGACCTCTGGTAGCAGGAGGCCGGAGTTGAGCTGATTGCTGCATGTTTACTATTTCTTCCTATATCACATGACTATACATGTTTTACGTTTTATGGCTATTGTAGTTGAGACTGGATGACTATGTTGTTTTATTTGGTGAGTATGGGAGTTGTCCATGCCACATGATGATTATCCATGTTTGATTTATTTGAATTTTATAATGTATTAGGATATTGTCTGTTCTACGTGTGGTAGTTTCGTGACTAGATACACATTTATGTTATGAGGATATTCAGTTAGTTTTAATTGCAATTTACATACATGCAATATTTTGTAAAAGGATTAAGTAACCAACTTGGTAAATAATGATGACGTCATAATTGAAAAGAAAAAGTTAGCTTCCGTATTTAATTGAGTTGCGCTTAATATCGTAATATGATAACAATCCGGGTATACACGGGGTGTTACACCAAGCCTTCCTATAAGATATATGGAATCAAAGATTTGTTGCTATCCTTTCTTGGATTAAGCCAATTTTAACACTAGGCTCCTCCCTTATCATTTACACATTTGGTCCAACAAGACTGTATTAGTAAGTATTCCAGAATTTTTAAAATTTACTAAACACAATTTTACGAACCTAAGATCAATGAATATATGAGATTTGAGTCCAACTGCTTGTGATCTTGAGTAAGACTTTGACTATCACATGTGTGTTTGTTGTTCCATATGCCTATAACCCATTCAGTGCCACCCTTTTTATGGTATGCCCTCATGCTCTATGGACAACCATCGTTATGATTTTGACAAACCATTATCAGCCTTTTCCTATCACTTTTTTCTATGACTGTTGTGCGATGGTTCACTATACAATATTGTTTCATTGCCATATGTACATCTTGCTTGTTCTCAAACACTTGATCGTTATATAGCTCTTGACTCATTTGCCAGTTAGGTATTTGCGCTCCATGCATTTCATCTAACTGCTGATATGGGTATTCCCAATTAATATTTGTTCAATAGCTTATTTGAGACCAAAATGGTACACTATCGTTTCTTATATAATCGCACATCCAACACAATATTATGTGTCATTTAATAATAAATTAAATAACCACTAATAAACCATTATACTTACTAACCTGCAACTGGCGGGTCTTCCATTCCAACAATGCCCGGAGAAGGAATTGGTTGACCAACTGCACTAGACGAACAACAATCAAAATCACCATCGACATCCGTATCCGATGAGTCGCTGTCGAAACAAGATCTTCGTCCAGCTCTTCCTTGGAATTGTTCGTACGCCAAGATGGATCATACATGTCGTAGGCCGGCAATATTTCATCA